GCCACGCGACTCTCGTCAGCTCGTTCTCTGACGTCTTGAAGCACCGGTTCCCCGTTAAACAACAGCATGCGAGTTTCGAAAGCTCCGCCACGGTCTTCTTTATCAACAACCGTTGATTTGGCACCTTTGTTTATATGTATGTTTTTGAATTTGTCTTTGCACCTTGTAATTTCGCTTCCCTCATTGACAGTATCCTTTTGTTTAACCGCCTTCGACTGCTGCGGTTGAGACGAGTGCGTCGTTGAAGATTCAATTGGCATCTCTGGTGCTAAGACTTTCTCTGAGGAGGGATTCATGTCGTCATGGACTTTATTGTCCAAATGGGAGGAGTTGATTTCGACGGTGCTAGTTTCAGACTGCTTTCTCGCCGGTCCGAGCTTAGAACGAGGACTGTCGCCCTTTGAGAGAGTCACGGTGTATGAGCTAGTGCCGACGTTTTTCACAAGAATCTCGATTTTCTGATATCCGTTCAGCTTATATTCTTCGAAGCCGTCCCTGTCATTGTCCCCGACCATATTTTTTGTTGTTAGGATGTTTGTGATTCGACGAGAATCATTTTCGTTTAGACACGTTGTGCCGAATCCGACTTTCCCCAAAACGAGTTCATCCTCTGCTGCATGTTGCAACGCATTTGGATATGAACTTTGCTCATCTCCTTTCGGGCATTGCTGTTCGTCGAATCCCGTGGTGCTTGCACGTTTATTTTCCTTAATTCCAGATTTTTCTCCTTCTTTACTCATGGCCGCCACTGTGGTGGAGGTAGTTGAGGTCTCAGAAGTCACAAGTCTGTCAGCGCTTGATTTCCCGCTTCCGTCAAGCCACACATCGCACTGAACACGAAGAACGGTTATCGGATAATACACCAACGCGAAAGTTTTGCGACTGGATAATATGTTTATTTGAATGTCGAGAAGTGCATCTTGCACAATGTTTTCAGTGCTCTTCTTGTTCCCGAAGGACGTGCTGTTTATCCTGATTTTGCTGTGTCGAGTTTTCGCCGTCGGACGTAGCTCGTTTTCAGGTCCCGAAACGGTTTCGGTCTTAGCGTTGCCTGCGAAGGACGATGTGCCGGCTTTGACCTCTAAGACAGCGGGCTTCTGTCGTGGACTGACTGAACTTGACTTTCCCTCCTGTTTTTCGTCGGGTTTTTCGAACACAGTTTCACCGAAGGAGGTCCCGTTTCCAAGCTTCGAATCAGTATCCTGAGTGAAATGTTTTTCAGATTCGTCTCTCACTTTCTGATCGACTTTCATATCACCACCATTAAGTACGGGGATTACAATAGTTGAAGATTCTTCCTTCTTTTGAATGTGCATATCCAAGTCTGCTCGAGACACAGCGCCCGTCTTTACTTCTTCGGTACCTTTTTCCAGCTGACTGCCAGAAGAAAAGCAGGCATTTGTGTTTGATATTTCCTGTTTTACTATTTCCTGTTTTACCCTCTTTTCCTTCGCTTTTTCATGCTTCGCTTTTCCCTTGGAAAATAAATTCAAGTTCTTGAATGATGACAGGATCTGTTCCTGGAATGCTGTTGCATTTTTTTCTTTTCTCTCAGGTTTTCTGGAATGTTCGGTTGGAATTTCAGCCTTAGGCGTGTCCAACTTCTGGCTCTTGGATCGTTTTGTCAATCTGCCAAATTTCATCAGCGTTAATGGAACAGAAGCTTTTGCAGGAGCTTCCTTCTCGTCGGTTGTTGTCTTTACCCCGATATCGGCTAGTGATTTTTCTTTCCCTTTTACATTTCCCGCTTCATCTTCATGATTGATCAAGGTTCGGTCGAACCGTTTTGTTTTAATATTAACTTTATGAAACGGGGATACGTGTTTCTTCACTGAGAACCTGCTTTCTGCGTTTTGTCCTGATTGCATTTCTGCTGTTGCTTCCTCATCTTTTAGATGGTGTTTCTTGCGAGGGGGAGGAACAGGAACGCCATTTTTCAAAACGTTGGGAATCGGTCGAAGCTCAATGTACTTCTGGTCAGCCGATGCTTGAGAAACGTTCGACGTCGGAGCAGAAGGTTGCGAAATCACCGGCTTCGGCTTTGAGTACGGAACGTCCAGATGCTTTCGATCACTCCCGCAGCACGCCGTGTAGAACATTTTCATGCTTTACCACTGGAGATCACGATTTGCCTATAAGAGGATGTTGCAGTTGAAGAAATTCAAAAATATAGTAAGTAAAAAAATTGATAAATCAAATATATGATTTGTCTATTTCTACATGGGCAAAACACCGGAAGATCCTGACATTGCACGATAGATCACGTCAAAAAATGAGAAGAAAATAATAACCTCGATGTCACCTACACAGTCAAGACATGAAACATTTAGTCTTCTTTAAAACAGATCACTTTTTGATCCTGCGGCACTGCGGTATTTCATTGGACAGAGTAATCGAGCCTGAGAACATCCACAATGACATTGTGTGTTCTAGTGAAACCGGAAGGGAAACTATCTGACTGGTTTGAAACCTGCAATGACGATATTTCTTCGATAATGCTCTTCGATCTTGTCGATTGGGTGATGAAACAAAGAGTTAACAATCTCAGTAGGAGAAGGACCTCAAGGTACCCAGGCATAAAATGCTCGAATCCAGATTGGCAGAGGATCATTACTTACTGTTAATCGATCCTAATGACGAACTACGGCTACTAACAAACAGAAGCGGTTTAAACCGTTGCGGAAAAAAACAGGCCTTAGACTAAACTAGGAGAAAACACAAGCAATGGGAAAATGAGAGGGAAGAGATATGATATCACATCCATTACATTGAAAGCCACCTGAACCCTGGATAGCATCAGAGAGGGGGGCGAACAGGTGATGAATCGGCCAGACACTGTAAGAGCTGAGATATCAGAGTCATCTCCAGCCTGGTGGTGAATGGGTAAAAGCGGAGAAAGGTTGGCTGATAATGGTGATGGCGGATGCGTATGATTGACAGAGAGAGAAAACTGCGATCCGGTATGTCAATGAAATCGGCAAAATGAGTGATGGTAAAATACTCACAATGCCAACAAATAAAATGCGGGCAAGGATGCAGAAGTTCTCATGTATCAATTTTGAAAACGCTTGAAATAAATCGTCTTGAGATGAAGGTCTGCACTGCTTAGGGGACACAAGGCATCAAAAAAATAATAGCTTTTGACCAGAACATCCGTCAATAAACAGATAGGCGTCTGTTTGAGATCTTTTACTTAAATTTGAAGAAGAAATAAAAACAATAATGAAACAGATTTCTAGGTCAAAAATAAACTGATTAATACAAATGTCCTCACAGTATACTCCTAAGTGCAAAGCATTTATGTGACTGGAGGCAGCCTCAAAGCAGTGTTTGGAGCTAGCAGTATTTCAGTGAGAAAATTACTATCATCAGCCTTTGTTGATCTACTGTTGAATGAAGACCCGTCCAAGACTTCTCCTCAGACCTCTGTTTGCTGCTATTTTGGTCCATTTTGATCCGGCGAATCTTATCAGTTCATCTTGCATCAGTCTTAAGGTCTTTTTACGGGCCGTTTATCATCTTCTGGAACCCATTCCAACGTTTCTCTGAATCAACGACAGTCGATTCTTCCTGCAACATGTCCAGTTTAGCCCATTGCCACTTAAACTTAAAAATGTTGTAGATTAACTATAGCAAACTAATATCCATGCAATTCTTCAAATCCTCTTTGTCATCCTTATTGTGGAGTAAAATCACCGATGAGGTAGTCAAATTGTCTTGAATCTTCAGCTCCTTCAGAAAGCATAAAAGCCAGCTCGCCAATATTTTGGCCAATGCTTCACCTCCTGCAATTTGCTTTTGAATCAATCTGTTCACAACCGCGACGCTCTGCACTGTGTTCTTCATGTTATTTCTTATTGAATCAATTTCCTTCGTGTGTGGACCTTCTTATGCCTAAGTTTTGCTTTGTGTTTTTCTTAAAAATGTGTTCATAACAAACAGCTTCATCAGCTGGTCACACTTGTTGTTTCTTTCGCGGTAGTGAAGTGAACCAAATGAATACACAGTTATACGGTAGTGTATTGGTCAGACACCGGACTGACTACAGTATGTTTTGTGTTGTACATAAGTAAACTGTGTTTACGCTACTTTTTCAGTATGACCACCAACGCAAGAACAAATTATTCTATCTTCATCCAAATGAAAATATGGATCAAAAGTGCGACACTGACTGATGAACTACCCGAAGCATGATAAATCACGCGATATAAATACTGAAGGTCACAAAACCGCGTTGCTCCGTGTCTCGCTTCGTGCCGTTCAGATTTTCTTCATGATTTGATTCTCCTTCTTTCGTAGAATCTTGACTAATTATAGTTTTGGTGCCAAGAAAGCACTCTAGCTTCTTGATTTCCTTCTCCTCTTTCTTTAAATTCGCTTCGCTAGCAGTCTCACTAAAATAGTTGCCGCTGACGACTAACAACAACAACGGCAGTAAGTGCGACAGATTGAAAGGTTGGTCAGGGTTCGTTTGGATATTTAATTTATTATCCTGTTTTAATAAATCATTCTGTAAATTATATTTTAAATGTCCAACAGATGGACAGATAAAGACATTTGGCAAAAAACAAATATTGCTGTCTGGAGATGGCTTGCAACATGAACATTCAAGTGACGATCGATATGAAATCACTTAAAATGATCGACTCTTCAGATGCAAGATGCCGAAAATTCCATATAGAGCACAGATTATCTTAAATGATTCATATGTAAAAAAGATCATATTGCAACAAGATCGATTATGAATAATATGCTTTTTGCTCAATTATGATTATTATACATTACCATAGTGCATCATAATAACATAAATCATACTACCGAATTATCAAACAACATATGTTCTCACGCCAGAGTATGTTGAATACTGCGCAACTGCTCGAAAACCAGATTTCACGGCCTATTGCACTCCTTTTACCCCTAGTTGCCTAAAGGGAATTTAAATTGTTAAATACTTCAAAGTATTTGAGAACCTGCAGTACTACATACATCTCGCATCTAGTTGTCCGCTATAACAACCTAATCCTAATCACGAAAGAAGATTATTTCTGATAATTGCTGCGTATTATTACATTAGTAGAAGAAATATAACTTCCAAAACAGAAATTAATGACTACAAATTTTTACGAAGATGTTTAGGCAGCAGCATGTAATGAGAACAGCTCTTGAAACGTCGTTCATGTTTGATGTGATTACTTTAGTGAACACAATACTGCGAACCACGTCTCGTGCTGCGATAGTGTCATGGTCTTCTCGAGTGGTGCTCCTAGAGAAATGACGCAATCATGTCGTGATTACTGCCTGTTATCTACGGAGTTATGCGCTATATCATGCCATAATTTGCAAAATATTTGCTTCATATTGGATATGTGCATGGATACTTGACACCGCTGCTTGAATCATAAGTAAGACACTATTTTATCCAAAATTTTACACAGGGCGGAAACGCTTTTGTGCAAGACCAAGGTTTTAGTTTATGCTACCAACTCTTCTCAGCTGCAAACAGTCAGTATGATACACAGATGTACGGTAGCACGAGGTAGTCGAGATGTATTTAGAATTTATTTTGCTCTGTCCTCAGTCTATGCAAATTGCGTGCATTTTATTGTTACATGCGATTGAAGCGATTCCTATATTCTTTTTAATTGCCAGCACTGTAGCGGAAACCATTGAGTATGCTTCGACTTTAGATTGAATTATTATCTTCTATTCATAACACAGACAAATTGGTAACCTAGTTAATTTTCATCATCTCTCTTTGAGAATAAATGTATTTCTTCCGTCCAGTTTGTAATCAGAGCATTCGTATGTGAAAGAGATCCACATTCAAGATAAAAGATCTGATATGTGTCCTCCAGCTGTAGTTGCCCTACTTCAGAAGGCAAAATTGCGTTTCATTCACATATATGATAATCAGTTTGTTTTTTGCAAATCTCTACAACGTAGATATTGTAATTCAGTTTACGAAAAGTAGACACGAGTACAATTGGTTATAATAACAGGTGCATCTTAGCGTTTGTTGCAAGTAGTCACGCATATTTAAAGTTTAATTGGGTAGAGGAACTAAATTTTACTCTGCAATTTCGTTCATCGAGCAAACATCATATCGCCTAAATTGTTTGTATCCTGTTTTTAAGTTCAGTACTTCGCAAAATGATGTGCGATCGAGGATTTTCCGTCAATGGCAGATCTCTTGCTCATTTTCAGTTTTCCAACTACGTCGTTTTGTTGAGAACGAAGGAAAAAGAGATGAGAAAATAATATGTGAATTAGAGTGAGAGAGCAAGCGAGTTGTACTCTGGACAAACAAGTCGAAGACGAGAATGATGAGAAACGAGTCCCCTTGGGACAGGTAATCGTCGCGAATTACTGCCGAACTCCTCCTTTGGTCCAGAGCTCGCTAGAAGGCATCGTGCGGGGTGAAGTGTATACGAAGGAAACGCTGACATTCTTGGAAAGAGGTTATAAGGTTATAAATTGAGGTTAGAATCGTATTGCATGAAAACATGGCACTGCCAACATCTCTCTGTGGACACAAGATCTGGGCATCAACGAAAAGGACAACCACTGATCGTAATGCAGCAACCAGCCATGAGAAATCGAATGCTAGGAATTGCCATTAAGGACGAGATGAGGAATGGAGGAAACCAGAGGGAATGTAGGGAGTTGTAGGAGCTTAAACAGAAATACCACGGTCAAGTTGCATTGCACAACTGACAGATGACCGATGGACTTCGGCAATGACGATTTGTACTCAAGACTCTGCAAACAGCAAATTGGAACACCTCGGCTCAGATTAGACGATTAGCTAAACGAGAGATGTTTGAAGATTGAGTTTTTCGTTAATACGGCGATGGTCATGCTGAAAATTGACAAATGAATAAACGGCTTATTTACACATAAAGCCAAGAAATTCGTCAATCGGATGATTGAGCAGTACCGACGTTCAAGCACATTCTTTACGGGTTGGTCCGGGTTGATTTTGGGCAGTTTTCGCAGCTGCTGTGACATTTAGAGTTGAAGCTGTGCTTGTGACTCATGCTGCTGGTTGGGTAGCCTTTCCGTAACGGGTTTGACAAGGCATGTCCAACCCATGCAAAATTCGTAT